AGGCTCGTGCAGCTCCGCTCGGTTCGATTTTTATTAACTGCACGAACCAATGGCCGTGCAGTTACACTGCGTTATTGAAGGGCTTCAGTCATCTGAGAAAAAGGAGTTTTCCCCAAAGCGTCTTAAAAGACGCAGTACTCGTTCCGTATCTCAGGGAACCGAGGTAACGTTAGTAACCGAGTATTTATTTTTTTTTTACATTTGAAGAGTTGATAAGAATGTCTGGTTTTATTTAATCTTTTTTTTTTTTTGCTCTACCAAGGCCTGTTTGTGAAAGGGCCATGCGTTAGAAGTCAGAAGGAACTTAAGTTAATTTATGATTTTGAATGTAAATTTAAATACAGAAATATATTTTTGTATTAAAATAAATGTATTTTACATATTGCATTACCATTTGCATATTACATTTCAAAATGAATTTTGCTACCCATATGCTTCCATATTATTTTACTTTTACCACACATGATTTAATCTGGTTTCAATTTCTCTTAGGCACATAGATGGAAACCACAAACTTGTGAGAATGAGGATGTGTTCCATGTCTGTGTTGATGTTTTAGTCGAGCCATCATTACCTTGCTTGTCTAGATAACAACAGAGCCATCAACGGCGAGGTGTGATCATATACTTGAAAACACTGGTGTTGCCTGTTTCATGCTTCATAGGAGAGGATTAAACAGACACAGTGTAATAACTGGCAGGTCAGTGCATAATCAAAGAATTGAGAGATTATGGGCAGAGCTAAATCGAGTGGTGTCATTTCATTTTGGTAATCTTTTGAACTTTATGGAGGAGAATGGTGTGTTGGATTCACTTTATGAGCTCCATGTATTTTGCTTTCATTATAATTATTTGCCACAAATTCAAGGAAGTACTGAATTTCAGAACCACTGGAATAACCATGGTCTTTCAACACAAGGGGGGCAAAATCCTCTTCATCTGTGGCAAAGGGGCTTAGTCAACAATGCAGGAATGCATAACCCAAGTATGAATGGTATTTATGACACAAACAGTGGTTTTGTTATTGATGGCAACATAACACTCTCAGAGTTACGAACAAATAATAATGTTGTTGTTCCACCAATTACCCTCAGTGACACAACAATGGATACACTTCAGCAGATGGTTGATCCATATGAAAATGAAAAATGGAAATCAATATATAATTTGTTTTGCAACCTTGTACATTTTCTAGAAGAGAGGCACTCCTAAACTCATATCCATGTTAAGTAAACAAAAGGGAACAAAATCCCTCTCAACAGATATTCTTGGAAACAAATTCTGTTTGTTGTCAAGATTACTGGCAACATAATGGCTACACATACAGTGCTAAATCCATTTAAGTCTGCAATAGTTCACCTTCACTGAACTTTCTAAAAATCTGAACTGTATGGAGTAAGATGTTACCATTTTAACAAAGATACAACAAAAATGTATTTTCAAAGAAAACATTCTGGAATGATACCCACATCAAAAACATGAGTCAATTACTCTTTTTAAATAGTTAGACGGCTGACTCACATCTATTTATCTGTGTCAAATTGACCCGAAGGTCTTCCCATAAATTATTTGATGCCAAAACCATGGGTATTGACCAATGCAAGCAGGGACGGATTACTGACCGGGCCAATGGGGCCAGTGCCCAGGGGCCCTTGACTACCAGGAGCCCAGGGGGGCCCTGGGCTTAAAGGTTGCACCATCCAGTTTGGTATACAGAAAACCCAACAACAATGAAAACTAATGCTTATTTATGCTGGAATATATGGGTCCCATAGCCTATACAAGGCCTCTTAGACAAGGCTTTTTGTCTACGAGGGCTCCCTGGCACTCCTGTTACAATTGGGCCCTGTGAATATGAATGCCTCCAAACCTCTTATAGAACCATTACTCCATCCTGTTTCAAATCATATTTATTTGAACCACTTTTTGAGCTTCTTTCTTTGTGTGAAGGGTATAAGAAAAAAGTACTATTTAGCAGAATGAGAAAGAGATGTATTGCCAAATATGTTTGCATACGAGTGATTCTATAATTGCAGGTACATTTGGTGTCCGAAGTCATTATTTTTTTCTGCTTTTTTCCAAATGGTTATATTTTTAATTATTTTAATACTGTGTTACTCATTGTTATGAATTACAAGATTTTACAGTCCATAACGATCTAATATTTTTATGATGTAACTTTCCCTCACTGTTAGGATCTGAAGCACTGAAAAGTCTATGTGCTCTCTCTAAGAAAATATTTTAATCTAAACCGTCAAACTCTGTTACCAAGGTACAGTAACAATTCTGACAATGCGGTAACAGAATTGACAGTCCATCGGACAATTCTGTAAATTCTGTTACTTAAAAAGTCAACTCTGTTTATGAACTATTTTCACAAATAATAAAATTGTTGTTTAAAATCTAATAAACATTATTGATTTATTTTTGCACCCTTATAATATTTCAACATTTCTTTTTTTAACTGGATATTGTATATAATACATTTTCAGATTAAACATATTTGCTCCAAGTGGACGTTTCTGTGAAGACATAGGTATTTATTTTTAAGGTATGCATAGGTGAAATATTATCTCAGTTTCAAGTGATGGAATGTAAGGACTGTAAGGACAGGTGAAATATTATCTCAGTTTCAAGCGATGGAATGTAAGGACTGTTTGTCTAATGAAACAAGAAGGATTTTTCCTGTTATGATTTATTGTTATTTCTACACAGTGGCTAATTTGTCCGTAACAGAGTTGACAAACAATACCATAAAGACATCTGTTTTTTCATTAAAAGTAAAAAAAGGAAGTAACTTGTGTTTGGCAAGCACTGAATTATTACAATTAAATATGTTTTCAATAAGTAATAAAATCTGTTAGTGAAAAGTTTTTTTTTTTAACTTTCTGCAATGCCAAATGTATCTCCAATTATAGAATCACCCATACACAAGGAATTTGTTTTAGTGAGAGAAGAAGCTTCCAGAGCACAGATATAGACAAATTTGCATATACTAAGTTGCACGTGTACATACAATTATTATTATAACTGTCCATCTTCCCTAGGTTGTATAAAATAATGCATACCAGAAAGAAAGAAGGGAAAAACAGATGTAGAGAGCAATAGAGTCAGGTTAAGATTTTTTAAAAATTTAACTGTCAAAAGTTGCACACTTAATACAGTTGTTTGAATGTCTACAAAAGACCTCCTTCAAATATAAATGTATGACATTATCAAATCATTTTTTATTCATGTGATGCATTAAATACACTATATTGCCAAAAGTATTGGGACATCCCCTTCTAATGAACAGGTTTGACTACTTTAGTAATTTCCATGAAAACAAATCTCAATGTTTAAGCATATAATGATATTTTAGGGAATTGTGTGCATCTGATTTTATAGCAACAGCTTGCTATCAGCACTGGCTGAATAAATCATTTCTTTTTGAACCTTGCCTTATACACAGAGGCATTGCCATGTTAGAATAGAAAAGGGTCCTGCCCAAACTGTTGCTATAAAATTAGAAGCACACAGTTCCCTGAATATCATCATATGCTTAAACATTAAAGGGATAGTTCACCCAAAAATTAAAATTAGCCCATGTTTTACTCACCCTCAAAGCAGCTGTAACAAAGTTCTTAGTTGTGCATCCATAATAAAACGTGCCTCACACAGCTCCAAGGGGTGAAAAAAGGCCTCCTGTAGAGAATTGATGCGTTTTTAGATAAATATCCATATTTAAAATGTTATAAACATTTTTATCTCACTTCCTCTGACTGTCATATATGCAAGACGTTCCGGGCGGAAGACGTAGGACGTACGCGTCACGCACGCACACGCCTGTGAGATATGCCACTCTCGCGAGTTTGTTTACAGGAGCAAAGGAAGCAAAGTTTCCTTATTTTAACAAAGGAAACCTTTTGCTTATATTGAAATCCTCTGACATTTTTCTTTACAAATCCTCGTTTTGTGCTTCTAATAAGTGACCGGCGTTTTGATTTGCCGTCTCTCCTCCGCTTTTCCGCATTCGTCACTAATCACCGGCACGTGCATGAGGCGTATGTCCTATGTCATCCGAGAGAAAAGTGATTATAACTTTTTAAATATGGATTTTTTCTTACAAAAACGCATCGATTCGCTACAGGAGGCCTTTATTCACCACCCTGAGCCATGTGAGGCACGTTTTATTACGGATACGCGCGCTTTATTTGACTACTTTTGGACTGAACAAAAACACCCGCCCATGCCATTCTAACGAGCCAGGATACTTTTTAATATAACTCCAATTGGATTCGTCTGAAAGAAGAAAGTCATATACATCTAGGACGCTTTGAGGGCGAGTAATGATGAGATTAGAGTTAACTCTTAGATAACTTAGATAGAGTTGATGGGCTAATTTTAATTTTTGGGCGAACTAACCCATTAAAATTTGTACTCATGGAAATTACTAAAGTAGTCGAACCTGTTCATTAGAAGGTGTCCCAATACTTTTGGCAATATACTGAATATGTATATTGGGGACACTAAACACCATCCGGGCCGGTCTTGACAGTTGCAGTAGTATATGGTCTCGTGTTGTTTCCACCAACGAAATATAATAAAAAAACAAAAACAAAACTGCTGTACAGATGATTTATTAACATACGTGTTGCAAAGGCATGTGACGCGGAGTGAGAACGGTTTGAATATTCATGATAATCTCGCTAAGGGAAAGAACGGGAATGGTGAAAAAAACGTGGGAGGGGGCCCTTGGAGGTAACTGGCCCCGGGGGCCTTTTGAAGTCATAATCCGTCTCTGCTCTGATCACATGTAAACGGCTTCTCTCCAGTGCAAATCTTCATGCGTTTTTTTAAGGTTTCCTCTTTTAGTGAAGCTCTTTCCACATTGTTGGCAGGTCAAAGGTTTCTCTCCGGCATGAATCATCATGTGGTCATCGAGGTGTTGTTTATATGTAAAACTTTTTCCACATTGAGAACATGTGTAAGGCTTCTCTCCAGTGCAAATCTTCATGCGTTTTTTTAAGGTTTCCTCTTTTAGTGAAGCTCTTTCCACATTGTTGGCAGGTCAAAGGTTTCTCTCCGGCATGAATCATCATGTGGTCATGGAGGTGTTGTTTATATGTAAAACTTTTTCCACATTGAGAACATGTGTAAGGCTTCTCTCCAGTGTGAATTCTCATGTGGACTTCAAGGTTTGGTTTTCGAATGAAGTTCTTTCCACACAGTTTGCAGGTGTAAGGCTTCTCTCCAGTGTGAACTCTCATGTGGTCTTTAAGGTTTCCTTTTTGAGTGAAACTCTTTCCACACTGAGAGCATGTGTAAGGTTTCTCTCCAGTATGAATTCTCGTGTGGTTTTTAAGGTTTGCTTTTTGAATGAAACTTTTTCCACACTGTTGGCAGGTGAAAGGTTTCTCTCCAGTGTGAACTCTCATGTGGACTTCAAGATTTCCTTTTCTGGTGAAACTTTTCCCACACTGTTGGCAGGTGAAATAACTTCTATTTGCTGTCTTTTGAGCTCTTTTTTCTGAAGTCTTTTCAGTATGTGAGCAACTAAATGATTTTTCTCCAGTCATGAAATCATATTTCTCATGCTGAACACTGAGTTCTTGACTCTCTTCTTTCAGTGTCATCAGGTCTAATGAAAAAAAGACAAATCCAGATTAACACAATGTTTAATGGCACAAAGAACACAAAGAACAATCAACAACATGTAGATCTTATACACACTAAGCTATTAAAGGAGGTGTTAAATGTGATCTTTGTGATCTTAACCATTATTCGAAGTGATGATGATAAAAAACGAGCCAAGTTTATTGTGTAATCTTAGTTGTGTATGTTTAATGGTAATGGCTCATGTGATCTCAACATGTCTGTCCACACGATGTAGGGTTGCCACCCGTCCCTTAAAATACGGAATCGTCCCGTATTTAAAGGTAAATTGATGTGTCCCGTATCAAATCAATACGGGATGCGATTTGTCCCGTATTTTACAAAGGCCAAAGTTGAATCAACAAATAAGTATTTTGCACTGTTTATAATACTAATAGCAATTATAATACAATATAATATGCTGCAATCCATCACGCTCCCTAAGGTCACAAAACTCTGGACTTTTGGTAGTACCTAGTAGTGTTGTCAAAAGACCCGGTACTTCGGTACCAAGTCGGTACTAAAAAAATGAAAACGTTACGGTACCAGGTTTTTTTAAGTACCGGTGGTACCGAGTACCCGGTCAACCCGGTTCTTGATGCGCTATCCGAAAGCTATCCTCTTCTAGTGTTGCCAAGTCCGCGGTTTTCCCGCGGAATTGGGCTGCTTTAACACTGTTGCTGCGGGTTGTTTTTCATGTCCGCGGGTTGAAAAACGACCCCATTAACGTGATATTTAGCCCCTGGAATGCGAATTTTACCAGGGGAACCCCGCCAAAACATGCATATTTTATCTTCAGAACGCGATTTTTAACGGGGGATTTTTAACGCGATTGGCGGGTTTTGTTGTGAAAACCTGGCAACCTCTTCTTCCTCAAGAGGAGGAAACGCATCAAACTAACAAAACACCCCGATCAAGTTCAAGCAGGTAAGTTTCAATTACATTTTTAATATTTAGAGCTTCTGTTATGAATATTATTCCATATTTTAATTAGAATTTCGGATTGAAATAAACATCGCCGTTAGCGTATACGTAGTTAATCGTTAGCATAAGCGCGGCTAACGCTAATATAATGAGCATTAGAATGAATTTTGTTCATTTTGTTCAAAATGATTTCTTTGTTAACTATTTAATGCTCCTATAACTTTTATTACTGTAAAAAACAGGAGGACATAATGGCATTTACTATTTTTACACACCAGAGGCTTTTAAATGAACTGTGTAACCAAAATATGCGTGTTAGAGAATGTACAAATGTATGGTTAACAGTATTTGTCATATAGTGTTTGTCATATCAGTCCGTCAGAAAAAGTGTTTTTTTTTTTTTTTTTTTTAGTTAGTTAGTTAGTTGTAATTCTTGGCTGAATATCTCTAGCAGGTTTAAAAGCCCTTTAAAATTAAATATGAACACAGTTTGGATTAAATAAAAGTACATACTAACTTTTAAGGCCCTAAATGGTTTAGCTCCTGTGTACCTAACTAGTCTTCTGTCACTCTACAATCCATCACGCTACCTAAGGTCGCAAAACTCTGGACTCTTGGTAGTTCCTAGGATAGCAAAGTCCACTAAAGGAGGTAGAGCTTTTTCACATTTGGCTCCCAAACTCTGGAATAGCCTTCCTGATAACGTTTGGGGTTCAGACACACTCTCTCCGTTTAAATCTGGATTAAAGACACATCTCTTTAGCCAAGCATTCACATAATGTATCTCATAACCTTGTACTTCAGTTATATCTGATCAATTGCATATTAACATTCTTTTGCTGGGGTTGAACACATAATTTTTGCTTTGTTGGAACAGCAGCTACGCTAATTTTTCTCTATTACCTTCTCTGTTTCTGTTTCTGTAATAGGAATTACACAAACTTCAGTCTGGATCCAGCTCTTACAAAGCCCTGAGATGACTGAACACCTGAGAAGAGATGATGCCAACCCCCCAGAGGACATCAGATGTTGCCAACCCTGAAACAACATACAAAACTACCAAATTTTGCTATAAGTTTGATTGCAACATATTATCATTGCTGTTAATAGTGTTCACCGCCTGTTTGATTACATGACATTAACTAACTGCTTGATTTTTACCGTTTGTTTCTGCCATATGGACATCAACTTGAGATAGTCACCACTGATAAGCTATTACTAAATATAATGTTCAGTTCAATTTCAGTTCAGTTTTATTTATATAGCACATTTAAAAACAACCATGGCTGACCAAAGTGCTTAACAATGTCCGGAGAAACACAAACAAGACAAATACAGTAAAAACATCACAATGGCTCAGCTCGAAATAAAAGCCAAGGAATACAGGTGTGTCTTACGTAACGACTCAAAAATTCCAGCAGTCTGAGCAGTTCTTATGTGTACAGGTAAACTGTTCCACGAATTAGGTGCCACCACTGAAAAAGCTCGGTCACCTTTATTTTTAACCTGGCTCTCGAACATCGAGGAGCACCTGATTGGACAACCTCAGTGCTTTAACAGAAGCGTGAACATGTAAAAGCTCTGATAAATAAGCAGACGCCAACCCATTTATAATCTTAAAAACAAACAATAAAATCTTGAAATCAATCCTGAAGCGGGCAGGAAGCCAGTGTAGTGAAGCTAAGACTGGGGTAATGTGCTCCTACTTTTTAGTCCCAGATAGAAGCCGAGCTGCTGCATTTTGGACTAACTGTAAGCGTTGAAGAGATGACTGATCCAAACCAACATATAAAGAGTTACAGTAGTCTAGTCTAGATAGGGAATACAAATGAGATATTACACCATATTAGGATCTACAGCCTATTTTATCAAGTGTGACGTCTTGTCGCAATTTTGTGACTTTGGCGCTTAGAGGGTTAAGGGCTATGCCTTTAATGCCAACACACTGTTCAAGTCTAGATAAAAGAATTGAGTGGTTGACCGTATCAAAGGCCGCAGTCAAATCCAAAAGGACTAAAACAGCAGAGTTACCAGAGTCCACGGCTAAAAAAGATCATTAGAAACTCTTAAAAGAGCAGTTTCTGTACTGTGACGGGACTTAAAACCAGACTGAAATTTTTCATAAATACTAAATGAATCTCGAAATGATTGAAGTTGATTAAAAACAACTCTCTCCAAGACTTTCGATAAAAAGGGTTTAGATATAGGTCTAAAATTAGACAAAATTGAAGGATCCAAGTTATTATTTTTTTAGAACCGGTTGCACAATGGTATGTTTAAAAACAGCTGGTACACACCCTGAGCTGAGAGATGTATTAACCAAAGATACAACGCTTGGCCCAACAGTGTCAAAGACATCTTTAACTAAGCATGCAGGAATACTGTCAAGGGGGCAGTTTGCAGGACGTAGCTGTTTAACTATGTCAGAAAGATAGGAGAATATAACCGGCTCAAACTGATGAAAGACAACTGGGCAAAAAGAGAAAAGAGAAACCGTGAATAAACAATGCTAAAGGATACTGTATTCATGAAGAATGAGCTGAACAAGCTTCTCAGGGCAGTGTGTGAGGGGAACCATTGAATTGTACGATAGGCCACCACCTTTTTTAGGCTGAAAAACAGATATTTCACAAGTAAGGAATACATTTCTTTCAAAAAAAAAAAAAAAATTTACCATAACTTAGGACCGATGACCGCAAATGCGCGATCACCCCTATTTTTAAGTCTGGTTCTAGGAACATATAGTAAATCAGAGTCCCTAGATCTAAGTGATCTAGACTGAGAAGGAGGATGCAGTAGTTCAGATAGGTACTGTGGTGCCTGGTTCCGCAAAGACTTAAAAACAAATAACAAAACTTTGAAATCAATTCTGTATTTGACCGGTAGCCAATGAAGCGAAATCAGAACCAGTGTGATATGATCACTTTTAAGCTTCCCTTTGAGGAGCCGGGCTGCGGCATTTTGAACTAACTGTAGGCGTGTGACACATGTCTGAGAGGCACCAATGTACAAAGAGTTACAATAGTCTAGTCGAGATGTTACAAATGTATGCATGACAGTTTCGAAACTCTTACCAGACAAAAAGGGCTTAACCTTTGCTAAAAGACGAAGATGATAGAAACAAGACCTAACCACAGCACATATCTGCTTATCAAATTTAAGACTGTTATCAAGCAAAACCCCCAGATTCCGAACACAGGTGTTACTGTAAGGTAACAGAGTATCGAGATCAATCAACATCATGAATGCTGTGATCATTTGAACCAAACAAGATAATTTCAGTCTTACTCTCATTAAGACTTAAGAAATTACTAGCCAGCCAAGAGTTTCAGTTTGTCTAAGCAGTCTAATATAGGCTTAAAGGCATGCTTATCGTCACGCTTTAAAGGCTAAATTTGTGTGTCGTCAGCGTACAGATGAAAAGATACACCATATCTAGATAAAATAGAACCCCAAGGTAGCATGTAGAGATTAAACAGTACTGGGCCAAGAATAGAGCCCTGAGGGACACCAGAACTTAAGTGTTTATCAGAGGAAGAATGGTGCCCGAGGCAGACAGAGTAACTCCTATTGGTTAAATATGAGCGAAACCATTGGAGCACCGTACCCTGAAAGCCCACACATGCTTCTAGACGTGATGAGAATATTGTGATCGATCAGGTCAAATGCAGAGCTAAGGTCTAGCAAGACCAAAGCCGCAGACTGCCCGGTATCAGTGGTGAGCATTACATCATTCATGACTCTTAAGAGGGCCAATTCGGTGCTGTGACGGGCTTTAAAACCAGACTGAAATTTCTCGTGTATATTGTTATCATTCAAAAAAGGCAAAAGTTGGCTCAGGGCCACTTTTTCTACAATTTTTGAAAGGAAAGGTAAATTTGAGATTGGGCGAAAATTACTCAATTTTGCCTCGCTGAAGGTGGCAACCCTAACAAGATGCAACCTGCTCCATGTCAAATAAAACATTTTAAATTACAAAATTCATATGACATTCTTCAAAAAATATAATTTCTTTCTGTAGAGTTGGGCATTTTAATAATGATCAAATGAATGAGTTCAGCTTTGAGAATGAAAACCAACCCGTTTGTTCCTCAGTATCTTCATGTTTGACTCTGAATGTTTCTTCAATCTTCATGTCTTCACTCTCCTCTTTAATAAATGCCATCTTTATAATAGTGTGTCACATAGATCTGTAAGTGATGAATCACAGATTCCTCAAGTTATCAACAACACAGATCTTATATAAGCAAGTGTGAAGTGCTCTCAATTCCCTATTAACTACAGACCATTTGTGATATTTCCAGTTAAGAATTAAGTAGCCTATCTTTATATGAGCAGTTTCCTTTTTAGAAGACAGAAATATGGTTCACTGATTAAAGCCGTTCATGTTCGGCTTCATCAAGCAGCAAAAATATGACAACATACTCAGGTGTTACTCCTCATCTAACATTGTTAGGAGTGAATCATGGTCAGTTTCTAAATATAAGATGCATTAACCAGTTTATTAGAAACACTTAAAACTGTAGAAGTATATCCTTCACGTGGTATTAAAACGTACAGTATTAGTGAAGCTATAGTTTTGAGACAAAATACCTAAAATATCCCTTTATGGCTGTAGGAAACTCAGAAGTGAAGATCAGGAGACTGAGTGACTCTTCATCAGGTTCTTGATTGAGATGGTACTGTGTGGCGCTGCAGTCATCAAGACTGACTAAAGCACTGAATCACTGTAGTTTTATACTGATTTCAGGAGGCTGTCATCAGAAGATTAAGTATGCAAAGGAAGTAAGCAGTTACAGGAATTTGCCCAGATTTTCACCTACTCTCATGCAATCAGCATAACTATAACACTCATTATCACAGAGATCAGGGAAGGTCACACCTACAGACATCACATTCACACTTAACCCAGGTACTGATTAGCATGAACAATGACAGTTAAATGGGACTGAAGCAGCAAGAGGCAATAAATGGCGCTTTTCCACTGTGTGGTACGACTCGACTCGGCTCAGTACGGTACGGCACGGCACGGCTCGGCTCGGTTTGCGTTACTTCCTCAACAGACAACAAAAAAGGTTAAAAAAGGTGCGCTCATTCAAAACAGTTGCATTCGATCCTTCGCTGGCTGTGCTGATTTAAGTCTAGTGGGTCTGTTGTGTCTCGTGTCGCAAGTTCAGTGACGCAGGTAGTGACGATTCTCTCCAGCCAATCCGTGATCAGCAGAGTTTACACGTCACGTTTTCGCGAGCCGTACCATGAAGTGGAAAAGCGCCAAAAGACAAAAGTTGACAGACTCAACCTACCACGATTTTACATTTGTATTCTCACACTAGGGTTGCACGGTTTACCTTGTTCAGCTTCCCAAAGAACCCAGCGTTATGTGAACAGTGGATGCAGTTTGTTTTTCCGGGGCAGCAACGGAGTTTCGTAGGAATGTTTTATAAACAAGGCCCAGTTCGACGCTGGATTTGCACACCGTTTGATACTGAAAGCTGAAGCATCCCAGGGATAAAAGATCCCGGTCATGTCCGCAGGCGGTAATTAAAACTGCATCAAATTTCTGTGTTTTGTTGGCAACCGGCGCTTAAGTGCATATGGTATAAACAACACGAATGTATAGTGAATCAAAAGTTATCCAGGGATAATGCGATGATACGGAGCCCCTAAATGGACCTTTGTAAAAATAAAAAATATACACTTTCACCTGCACACGGGAAACTTATCTCGTGCGCACACGTTACAATTTCTGGTGTTGTGCCGAAAAAAACACCCCTGCCAGATTATGCACCCCCTCATTCCCCAGTATGGTTGGGTTTAGGATTAGGGGTGGGGTTAGGATTAGGTAGTCAGGTAGTGACTTAAAGGGTTAGTTCACCCAAAAATGAAAATTAGCCTTGTTTAACTCACCCTCGAAGCATCCTAGGTGTATGTGACTTTTTTCATTCAGACGAATCCAATCGGAGTTATATTAAAAACTGTCCTGGCTCCTCCGTAATAAAACGTCCCTCACACGGCTCCGGGGGGTGAATAAAGGCCTCCTGTAGCGAATCTATGCATTTTTGTAAGAAAAAAATCCATATTTCAAACACAATAAACACTTTTTCTCATTTCCGCTGACTGTCGTACGTGGAAGCCGTCCAAGCGGATGACATAAGACGTTGGCGTTGCGTGATAAGTGACGAACGCGGAGAGAGAACAAAACGAAACAACGGTCACTAATTAGAAGTACAAAACGAGGATTTGTAAAGAAGAATGATTCGCTACAGGAGGCCTTTATTCACCCCCCGGAGCTGTCTGCAGCACATTTTATTATGAATGCGCGCGCTTTATTTGACGACTTGTGGACTGTTCAACTGCAGACTTTAGTCTTTGCAACTTTACAGATCTTCTTTATGCACCAAGAGCTTGTGACACTCCAAAGAGAAAGGAACAATTGAAATCGCATCATATGACCCCTTTAAGGCCGCTCTCGGCAGAACGTGCTTTCTTGCTGTATGAGAGAGAGTTTAGTCGGCCATTTATTTATTTATTTTTTTGTGGAAGGGGTAACAGAGCTGAATTCATGTCCTTGGTGGAAACTTTTAAATTAAGCCATAATCAATTCTGTTTTGCCAAATAGCAAATTTGTATATTTGTAAACACAGTAAAAACAGTATATACTGTTAGCCCGAGTGGGCTAACCCACACCGGGCCTGAGTGGGGTTGTGGGCTTGCCCACAGCAAAATCATATAGGGGCCCAAAAGGGCAAAACCGCTGCGGTCCCCACATGGGGCCATTTGGGGTTTATTGTGGGTTTGTGTTGCCCACACTGTCCCACGGTAAACCCACACCTACCCACAGCGGGCCTGCAGTGGCATGTTTGCTGGGACATTATTTTAGAGCTCCTGGGATTATTTTCTTCATGCATGGCGAATACATAGGGCCTAATTGTAGCCTATGTTCATATTATTGAAGGGTATCATGTTTTTTGATGTTATAAATGATAGCCTAACTGCTGAAAACAGACTCGTGATTTGATGACATCTTTAATTACAGAAGTTACATTAACTTTATTTTGCAATTAATTAGATTATTTATACTATAAATAATAATATCTGCAAAACAAAACCTTTTTTAAGTGTATGCCATTATCACAATTATATTAAGGGATTTAGTTTTAAGGAATAACCACATACCCTTTAAAATCCAATGTTTTTTTCCCCTTTGTCTGAGTTGCAAGGTGTCAGGTCTGATGATAAAAGCCCACGCATGGGAAGTGTTGTTATGGAAATGTCAGATGAGGGACGAAACGTCCGCCAGCGAACGTTACAAAGCGGACGTACTGCGGACCAGGGGGACGTCCCCTGTTTGCTGGGGAACTACCGAGGACACAAGTCCGAACTTTGCGTACTTTGTAATGAGAAACGGACTTTTATTTTGGTCGGTCTGGCGATGTGACGTCATAAGGCTGCGCCGCGCTCCTGCGTCTGTGATTCGGCTGAAGAAAAGTGAGTGCTTTTAACCATTATAAGTCAATACAACTCGTTTAGAGAATTGTGTATATAACTGCGATACCTAATGTAAGTTGGTGCTTTATCTATCTATCAGACATTAATGAAGGATATTTTCTATTATGTAAAAGCGCTCCCGCACATGAGCAACAGAAACGGTGCGTCTCATTTCGCTCCCAATTTCGTGAATCAGTTTATCATAAACACGAATTCAGTCACTGGCAACTAGTGATGCAGAAACGGAGCTTTTTTAAACTCCGAGTCAACTGAATCTATTGCCTCGTAAAATGATTCAGTGATTCGAATCAGCGCACGCTGTCGACTCCTGCTGCTCGAAACAGTGTAAATGCAACGAGAACAACAAACAAACATGTGTTGACCTGTTTTACAAACCAACTGTTTCCATATCAGCAGAATCTATTAAATAAAACCTACAAATCAGTAAATAATAAATATAAATCTTAATACAAATATGAAACGTGTATATTGTGTTCTGAGTGCTAGGCTAGTTATTGTTTTTGTCTTATCAGGTCACTTAAGGCCATTAGCTCTCTCTCTGACTGACTCCCTCACCAGTGTGCTGACTACTGAACTAGGGATTTAGTTTGAATTTATAATTATTTCTGTTAATTATTTTGATCTTAAACAGGACAAAGTTTCCAAAAACACAGAAAACTCCTGCTGAAGCGACTGAGATCCACGTGACACACTATTATAAAGATGGCGTTTATTAAAGAGGAGAGTGAAGACATGAAGATTGAAGAAACATTCAGAGACAAACATGAAGATACTGAGGAACAAACAGGTTGGTTTTCAGTCTCAAAGCTGAACTCACTCATTTGATCCTTGGGCAATTCCATGCAAAAGTCATCCTTGCCATGAAAAAAATTAAGTTTTTACCAAAAGAATAAAACCCTGTTTAACTTGTGCATTTAAGTCTGTATTTTACTGCATTAACATGCTTTAATAGAAATTTGAAGGAAATCGCTAACATTTTAAAGATTAAGTTTATGTCATATAGTAATTATTAATGCAATTAACTTGAAACCTTCTGTACAAAGCCAACTTGTGGCCATTCTAATTATGATCAACAGCTCATCTCTATTCTTTGCTCTTATCAACCATAAAAATGCATTACGGACGTGACAGTTACAGATGCTTCATATTAAATCTTATGGTGTGTTCACACCATACGCGACGCGAATATGCGCATCGCGTCCCTCGCTCTAGATTACTCGCGGGATGTTATTCGTGTCACTCGTGCGAATAAAAACAGCGCGATCAACCATGGTGGAGATGACTACAATCGCTGTTTTGTACCTGTTGTCAAAAAGTCCCAAATACAATGGAAAGCCAAACGCCGACGTGTCTGGGTTCAGAGCACCATCCAGAGAAGGATGAATAACGTTAGGATCCTGTATTAATGTGTGTGTTACATTTTACTACTGTATATCAGTGTTTCCCAACCGGGGTGCCGTGTAAAAAATCCATTTTTAATATTTTTAAATTGCTAAAATGTTCAAAAAAGCATCTATTATATAATATCCATTTCTGATGTCGCCAATAATTAGAGATGCACCGAAATTTCGGCTGACGCGATTGAGGCGAATATCGTGCGTTCGCGGCAAACGCATCGTGCATTTCGCGTCGCAAATTCGCCTCTATTTGCGTCTT